GTCATTGGTAATTAAAGAATACGTAATAACGCAAGCAACATTTTCCAATTAAATCCAAATCGAGGCAATATCGAAATCATCGTAACGAAAGCATCAGAAGACAAGTTCTTTCTGCTAAAATAATGAGAACATCCTTTGTAAAATATAATTTCCGGCGACGTCACACACTTTGGCGACACGATGTCGCCAAAAAGTCACGCGAAGAAATACACCGGTTCTCAATACACCGATTTAAAAAAGCATCCCTCAAAACCGGCGGCGACGGCGATTAACCCGTCCTCCTCTCGTGAATAAAATCCGAGACGTAATTCCGGCCGGCAGTCTCCGAAGGGCAGATAGGGAGCACGATTCGGCGAGAAGGTCTCTCGCATGCGGGTGCATTACACCCGCGAGTGCATCGTTGTTCTCGCATGGTCAGCGTGGCGGAATAAGCCAAGTTTCTTTCGGAAGGGAAGCGCTCTCGTAGGGCGCGATGCGTATCGTTTTCCGTGCTCGAGAGCCCGGTGATTCTAGCTGCTCCAGTTGAGGACAGTCACTTAATACGTTTCGAGGAGGGATTAGGTGTCGTGTTTCGTTCGACTTAACCGTATAATGTAGGCTTGCGACCGGCGGAGCATCTGCTCCCAAGCCGCGGGTTCTCGACTCCTGTGTCCCTCCGAGAGACCCGAGGTCTCTCGGCTTGTCGAGGCCGAGGAGGACCGCTGGGGAGATGACTGGGAGATTGAGAACGTCGGGAGCGAGAGAGGGAGAGAGAGAGAGAGAGAGAGAGAGAGAAAGAGGGCGTATGCGCGAGCGCATGAACGGGTTGCGCGCGAGTGTGTGCGAGTAGAGGCCACGACTGATAGGTAGGGATGACATAGTGCTGGACCAATTCAATAGGTATCGCCGCTACTGACGCGATTCAGTTGTCAAGAAGTCATTCAAGGGACTCGAATAGGGTATCGAGTGGGGTTACTCATCGACGATATCGAAACGCCGTTGTCGATGCGAGAGCGCTCGGTTGCCGCTCTACTCGGGAGCGCGCGAGCCCGAAGAAGGTCATGCGGATGTTTCTCGGATTTCCCCGTTATTCGAGAAGCAACAGCTGTGTTTAAGGGTTATCGTTAATACGTGACGCGTTTAAAAGCCGCACGCTGGATGAAGTTCGACAATCGTCGAATTCGATGGCTGACCTCGAGATTTCTTTCTTGCGCGCGCGCGCGCGCGCGCGCACGTCGCTTCACGACGACGACCCGTTTCGGATTTGAATTGGGTCTCTCGAATGCGTACGTCGCGCGGTATCATGGGGGTTATCGCGGTATATCTGGGAGATTGCAAACTCTTATACGACCTGGTTGCCGGCGACGCGAGATCCGCGTATGTTTGTTGGGAACAGTTGCCGCGCGGTGGATTGAGTTCTTGAAAACAGGCTGTGGTATTGTCTTGTTGCGAGTACGCGGTTTGTGTGCACAGAGAGATACTTGGGAGTTCCTGCCGCTGTGCAAAGGGACATATGCGAACTTGTTACCGTTGCGTGCAATAGCGGAAAATTCATATGCTATTAACGCAACAGTTGGTAGAATAGCGGATGAGTGCTCTTCTCTCCAAGTACATTGCACTATAGAGTCTCTCTCTCTCTCTCTCTCTCTCTCTCTAACTATATCGAGCCATAAAAGAGTAAGTACTATAGAAGAGCAACAGAAAGTAAAAGTGACAGCTGAGCAATGTGTAATCTGGTTTTCGTATCGGATCGAAATATTCGTTAAAAATTCAGCGGCGCGGGCTTAAAGGAAGCAATGTAGCTCTTACTGCAATTATTCTTTCTCAGATATCGTGAATAATCTACGCGAGCGACTGAACGATCTCTCTTTGGTTGTTTTAATTATCGGTCAACTGATCGGCATAACTTCCCGATGAAAAAAAAATTACGCTGATTAGAGAGACTTTCGAATAAATGAAAAGCCCGCCTTGAAAGCTGCGCGTTATACACCAGCCGTGCATGAATTTCTTTTTTAATTCGCCGCATTTCTCCCGGAAGATGATAACTGTCGAAAGCATAAAACCGCGTTTCTTATTTAGCGCGGATATTGCGAGAGACGGAGGTGGGAGCGTATAGTTTAATATCGCAAGTTACGTCCCGGCCGCGCTATATCACAAAGACAGTTATGCCCGCGCATTTCTTTTTTCTCTTTTTCGTACGGTCGCCGGAGCGGTTTCGAACTTAAACGAGCCGCGGCTGACCTCACATCCGGTTCTCTTGGGGCGTGAATAGAATCAAATGGAACGGAGGGTTACTAAATGACAATGGTCAACTCGTACGCGCCGGTTCTTATTTCCGGTGCAACGCTGCGGACATTGTTCATCGCGTCCTGCGTAGCGTATGACAACTAAAGGCGCGTTGCTCGTCGTATTTTGGCGCGGTTCGATTATACACGGCGACAGTGTGTACCGGTGTGTTTGACGTCGAGAGAAAAATTCATTCCAGAAGCTTTTGTCAGAAGATACAATCGCACCGGGGACTCTACAGAAGAAATGAAATTTTATTTTCTACGCAAAATTCGCGCAGCAACCCTTTTACTGCAACCTTTTTACGTGTACGTATCTATTTCTTCTATATCGCTTAATCTAAAAACCAATTATTAGTCCAGTTTGTCGATCCGTCGCTCTGCGAATTCAATCCTTCGCGAAACGCAATCCAGGCGTGTAGATGTATCATCAAGCGTTATTAGAGACGCACACAAGTCGTGAAAATTGAGATTACGACCGTTGCACGCCGGGAAATTTGCTTTCCAGACGTTTCCATAAACGGAGTATATTACCATGCGTACGGCTCAATTTGCACTGTTTTACATGCAGCTTGTATCTTTATCTCTGGAATTGCCGTCTTTCTCCCTTCCCGCCGCGGTATTACCATAACGCCGAAATTGTAAGCGACTCTCGTAATGCCGATTTTATGCGAATGATAACGGTAATCTCGCAGTAATTGAATACAAAGTGCAATATTAAGATAGCTGCGCTCCCGAAAGATATACGGCAACGTATTAGATATTTCACGAGGGCTTAATTATTTGTACACCGCGATTATACGCGTCCGCGTCCCTGATGCATTTCATGACAAATTCGAGATTCAACTCATGCAACTCGTGACATTGTGTGTGACGAGTTTTCATCGGTCGGGACTATTTGTAATCTCGATGTTAATTGATGCAGTGTCGTTATTTCTTTTTTCTCCGAGAGGATCGTGGAAGTAAAACGTGAAACACAACGCTGCAATATCGCAATAATACCGCAACGAGCTCGCGATGCGTTCAATGCTAAAACACAATAACAGTTTATTTCCCTGCTAGTTGTGCAAGAGGAAAAGGACGAGCGATGAAACGCTCGATACTCCTCGCGACGCGAAGTGTTACGTCAGAAAACGACTGCCACGGATACGGAGTTCGTATTTTCCATCGAGCGCAGGGAGCGTTCGATGGAAAATAATATTAAGGTTAATTCGCGCCGCGTTGCTTTCAATACGTCATGAGCTTTTTTTCTGCTAGGTATATTAATGACGTTTCTACGAAAGCGTTCTCGCGCGCTGCGATGGTAACGCGTGTAATTGCACGAGAACAAACGCACCGGCGAGACGCATAAATTGTTCGCGCGTGTATGCGATGAATTTACAGCTCGCCTGTTCAAATTCCGAGTGAAATGATTGAAAATGCACACCAGGAGTCACCAGGAGCGAACTCGAACGTTGGACATTAGCCATCGGTACGGCTGGGCCAACGCAGCAATGCTTCAATAAATTCGCGGCCGCGCGTATTTGTTACGTGTACAAGTCGCTGCTAATATTGCAACACCTTTCACTAAACTGCCATTAATTAAAACGTTAATAATTATTACATCATTGTATTGTATTTTCCATTTCCATTGCAATTGCAATTTCCATTTCCATATATGCCTGTACGTGGGAGGGAGGGAGAGAGAAACTTAGCAGACAACACCTGCCACTGACGTTAACGTAACGTGCCAACTAACATTAACGCAACGTCAACGATAACTTGTTGTTCGCACGAATAATAAGTATGCAACGCACACTCGTTATTATACAGGGTGGGGCAATAACTGTTAGTTTAACCTTAAATATCTTCGAATCTACAAGGCCCAGAGGAAGTGTAACTCTGTGTAACCAAAATTGCACGGTACGAAGAGAGCTATCATACAGCGATAATAATTTTTGTCCAGGTGGAGGCGCTTCGGAGATTGACTTGTTGATTTTTGGAAATTTTAAAATCATCAAATTAACAAAAATCAGGGCACTATTGCAACAATATATTCTCGAGACTGAATAAAGCAAGAAAGTCTGGTACCACTTTTTCTTCCGACAAATAATTAGCGAGATATCGTGAGTTAATTAAATATTGAAAAAATTATCAAGTTTTCCTCAAATATCTCAAAAAATATTAGGCAAATAAGAAAATGTTTTAGACAAAAGTTGTTCAAATTAATTGGTAGAAAAAGACAAATAAATAATGTATTTAAAAAAAAACGCAAGTTGACCTTGGTATCTCTGAAGCGCCTCCACCTGGACAAAAATTATTATCGCTATATGATGAGCCCCCTTCGTACAGCGCAATTTTGGTTATACGAATCTTCCTCTGGGTCTTATAGATTCGAAGATATTTAATAAGATCCTAATAGCCTTATTGCCCCACCCTGTATAGAACAAAATCCATAGAACAAAAAAATAAAAAAAATTGTGTAAAACGCGTCCATTCCTCGCGCGACTCCTACGATGAAGAAGCCCTACAAATTCGTACAAATTCGTACAAAATCTCCGCCCATACATGTATTTAAGTAATATCCTAACGTTAAGCTGAGCAAATGTGATCGCCAACATCCATTTCCACCGTCCTCTTCGCATCGCGAGCGCCAACGACTCGCCGCACTCGTCCGCCGCGCAAATACGTAATTTTCGTACTATCGCACGTTTCCCATCCCCTTGACCGATAATTTTCTCTGTCGCCTACTTTCAGTTGGCGTCAGCACTGATGCTCTAGTAAAGGCACCGGCGTACCGAGAGCGCGAGAGAGCGGGCGAGTAGCACAAGCAGAGCAGGATGTGGCGAGCACGGGTCGTCGTCTTCCTACTGGCAGCCACTTCCGTCGCCTACGCCAAGGTGGCAGTGCTGCCGCACGATGTCCACCCCGGCTACGAGGTGACGCAATTCCAGGGCGACGCGAGGAGCCTCTCCAACTTTCGCCTGCTGGAGACCGGCTTCTCCAAGTACTTCACCGTGTTGGGCAACGGTCTGGTGATGACGACGTCAGACCTGACGCCGCTGGTGGATCGACCGGTAAACCTGGTCGTCTTGGAGGAGCTGGTCAACGGCACAAAGACCCACGATCTTCACCTCTACGTCATCAATCGCCGGAACATGCTCACCTTCTCGCACGACCGTCTGGGCGAGGGCGGGGTGTCGGAGAACTCGCCGGCTGGGACTTGGATAGACGGTTTCCCGATTCTACGGGCGCGCGGAAGTTTCCCGGTGCACTACAAGATCCTACCGGACGACACTGGGGAACGACCGTTTGCCCTCCGGGAGAACGAGTCCAGCGAGACCGGCTTCAATCTCACGCTGAACAGCCAGAAGCAAGGCGTCAGGGTGGTGACCGCGAAGCCGTTGGATCGCGAGGTCCGCGAGCTCTACACCGTCGTCATACACGCGTCCGACGGCAACTTCATCAGCACGTCGAAGATCAGCGGCGTCGTACACGTGCTCGACCGGAACGACAACAGCCCGATCTTCGAGCGTGAGCTCTACATCTTCGAGATAAGACCGACCAATCTGGACACCCTGCACAAAGGCAACGAGGTTTCACCCGGCTGGAAGAGGTTTTCCGTCGTCGGCAAGGTCACGGCCAAGGACGCCGACGGAGACAAAATCGCGTATAAATTAGTCACGCCTAGCAGCCTGATGATCGTCGTGCCTCAAACCGGGGAACTAATACTAGTCGGCGAGCCGGAAATCAACGCGGAACAAGACAGCGAGTGCGAGCTGGTCGTCGAAGCGCACGATATACGTACGCCAAGTCGCAACACCGAGAAACCGGCCAAGGTCATCGTGAGGTTCCTCACCTCGGAACCGGACGACCAGCAGGAAGTGCACCGGATACAAAAGCGGAGGGTCACCAGGGCGGTGCGGCCTACGAAGAAGGTCGACTTTACGGAGGCGGATGGTAACATCGAGGGTAAGATCGCGTTTTACCTGGAGAAGGAGAACGAGAAGGAGACCTATAAGATAAGGGACGAGAACAAGTGGGTCACCGTCGGCGCCAACGGGTCTGTCATGGTCAAGCAGAAGTGGGACTACGAGGAGCTGGGCCCCGAAAAAACTATCGACTTTTGGGTTACCATCACGAACACAGGTAAACGAGCGCATTCGTGAGGCCGGGGCGAACGATTGGCGAGACACGAGCCTCCTCCGTGGATTCTTTCATCGATTTTTGTGTATAAATAATTTCGACTTCTTTTCGCTTTTCGGTTCGGATGGATACCCGGCGCGAGCGTTTCCTCGCATTTTCTCTCTTTTCGTAGCTCTTGTTAATTAAAGCAGATTTGCACTCTCGTGTATAACGCGGGAAAAACGCGGGTGTACTTTGCACGATTTCTCTTTCACGTAATATTCATTTTCGCGTTTCGACGATACTTGACGACGGTGTTTCTATCGCGGCAGCTTTATATATAACTAATTTTTATTTACCGGTACTCCACGTATGTGTGAAGAGCCATGCGCGCGATACCCAGCCGGTGTCAGGTGCCCGTTTTACGACGGTACAGTTTTATTTCGATAAGTATCGCTTGAAATATAGTCTCGACCGGCACATTTCACGGCTCGTTTCCGTCGCGCACAGCCACCACACGCTTTTTCTCTCTGATTCACTCTACATGTCTCTGGGATTCCGTTTAGGGGTTCTCGCTTTCACAGGGATGAATGTGGATTGGGTATCGATATCGAATGACGCGACTTGCGATGAAATTGGAAATTATACCTATGACGATACGGCAAAAGATATTTGAAGACAAACGATACTCTTGCGACGACTTGTTTGTAAATCGATTCGTTCTCGAACGAACGAATATGCTTTCAATCGTTCATTTGCTTGCCTATTTTAATATTCTCTCTAACGTGGAATTAATTTAAATAAATAATTATATAGAAGAAAATCGTTCCATTGTTCTCAAAATCCTAAACGACTTTGATTTGTGAATATTATCGAATTGTATACTTGTGACATAAAATATTTGTTGCCGTATTTGTCAGCAAGATATCCATTCACATGTATTAATTACGATTATTCTCTTTTCCTGCATCATCGGCTTCCAAAGGATTTCAATGTAAGTAGCAAAGCACATCGTTCATTTAACAAACTATATATTACACTGTATATTAGAATATTCAACGAACGATATATTAAAATACTCTTTCATATTTTCATATCTCTCACACGCGCAAGCTAATATATCATACATCGTTAAAAGCACCTATTTTTCTTGCTTACACGCTTTTCGCAGTAGATTTTCGTAAATCGTTGCTTGTCAATCAGCGCAGCTGCGGACGCCACTCGCGAATAAAATTGTAAACTGAAAACGCATGTACATACGCACATCAAAAGGAAAGGAAAGAGGGAACTGTTCAGAAAGATGTCACTGAATTCTGATTGAATCTCTCATTTTCGAAAAGACACGAATTAAGTGTCAGTGACACGAGGAGATGTAGAATCTGTCCAATTAAATTTTTTTCCATGTAATTGTATGTAATTATACGTAATTATACGTGAAATGTCATATGACATAAATTAAACGTGTAATTTAATTCTACTGATTAAGTATCATCATAAGTTCAGGTCCATCTCAAACTCGTTAGCACTCGTTAACACGAGGCATTGCATTAAAAATACAAAGAAAAAAGGAGAAAAAAAGAAAAAGAGAGAAAGTGGCAAGGAAAGAGCGGCATCGATAGGAGCGTTACAGTGGCAATTAAAAATCCAGAAATGTGCGCGCGAGGGGTGTACCGCAGCAGCCACGTTGCTCCTGATTGCGACGTGTCCTCGTGACTGCGACGCAAACATGATTACCGATGTGACGTTATAGATACCGACAATCAGCGCGTCATCATCAACATGAAGGATGTGAACGACGAGCCTCCGTATTTCATTAACCGGCCCCTACCGATGCAAACGGTCGTTCAGCTGAACGCACCGCCGAACACTCACGTGTTCACCCTTCAGGCGAGGGATCCTGACACCGACCACAACATCCATTACTTCATCGTGCGAGATCGAAGTACGTAATAGCGCGAGTAATCGAGACTCGATATTTCGAGCATTAACGCTGACGCTGAGCAGTAATGTCGGTGATATGTAATATGATAAGTAACGTGATTAATGGCGACGCGTGAAAGGAGAAAATATCATATAATGTGCGCGAGAGCGCGCGCGCGACACTTAATCCCCTTAGAAACCTGATAATTGCGGAGACGATAATCGCGGACGGGCTCGGGATTGGCTCGCCTAAGCCGGAAATATCGGCGCGAAATTGTTTTTCGTGCCGTAGCGCACGTTAAAAAGCGTCGATCGGTAATTCTCGATACGCCCGATGTTCGTTTTCCGCGGGATTCAATATTTCCGCTTTAACGAGTAATTGATACTTTCTCAAATGCCGGGGCGAAATAACGCGAAGCTACGAAATTAAAAGTATTTGCGGAAAATTCCATCGTCTCGTGGTTTGTTTTCCGACGAGGAAAAAACTTACTAATTTACCGTGGAGCCAGCTGGTGGTCGTGACAGCTCGATTTAATTAATTAGTATCTGAGAAAAAAGCGCTAAATCGTATATTTCGAAGAAACGATCGATGGCAGTAAAATGATGCCTTGTATGGATACGCTGTCCAAGATAATGATCAGTACACAATAAAGCGATAAAGTAATTAATCGCTTTAGCGCTTTACCGTGCAATTAATTTTCGCATTGACAGAAAAATGAGACACGAGAAACATGACAAACGTTAAATTATTTTCGATTAAAAAGACTAATTGCCTCATTTGTGTAAGTGAAATGTCAATCGCGATTGTAGTGGTGAATTTTTCATTCAGCGGGAAAATGTTCATACGCTCGTGCGCGAACAATAGCGTTTCATTAATTGCAACGAGAGACGCGTGTATAGGTGTTCAGGGCTCAACGTACAAATAAATGTACGTAGAACCATGCAAAATGATCGCACGCGTGTGGCTAAATTATTAATTCAGGCGCATCGATGTAAAATAGCGCATTGTTCTCGTCGAATTGTTGCAGTCGATGATTACAATGCTGGGACTCCAATATCATATCTCGCAATTTATAGGCTTATACAGTAATGACGCCATTATGTCGAATACGTCGCCGTGACGAATCGCGTTTGTGAGTGTATCGTAAACAATTTTTTATCACACGTGATATTAAGTGTACACGCGGTTTCACATGACGCCATTAAGCCGACACGCGGGTAAAAACGATTTGAATACTACGAAACGTCAGATTAAAAACTGTCGTTTGATTTCCGATAAATCTTCGCGCCGGTAGCGCCGGATTTAACGGGAATTTTTCCATTCGTGTGTGAACTCGCCTCTCGGTTGCGATTAATTTCAATCCGAATATAATATGTAAACCTGACACATAAAAATATACAAAAAAAGAAAAACTTTAATTTTCTCTTATAACGAAGCACCTCGTAAATCCCATCGGATCAAAATTTGCGAGTATTATTGCGAGCTCACGCTGTAAATTCACTCCCGCGGTTATTAGGTGTACATCGTGTTTCAGGGACTCGGCCTTAAGCTAGGAATCACGACGAGACTCCTATCGCGATGCGTCAAGCTCTCGTGAGATCTTTAGTGGCAAAGCTCGCGGAGATAACGCATCCCAACGGCTCCCTTAATCAATTAATTAATTAATTATCCACTATGCACGCAGCTGGCGGCCGCTTTGAGGTCGACGAGAGATCGGGGGTGGTACGCACTCGAGGTACCGACCTCTTTCAGTTGGATATGGAGTACGTCCTTTACGTGAAAGCCGAGGATCAGAACGGCCGTATCGACGAGAGGCGTTTCCAGTCGACTCCTGAGGAGAGACTATCGATCGTCGGTGGAAAACGCGCACCGCAGTTCTATATGACGGCGTACGAAGCCGAGATACCGGAAAACCAGAAGAAAGATTCCGAGTTAGTTCGCAAGTCCATTCCAATAGCCGCTTAACCCTCACAAATCTCGGCCCGTATTTGTTTCAAGGGAAATGCAGGCAATTCCGCAGGCAATATTTTTCAAGATCTCTTTCGAGCGAATCGCTCTAAATTTTTCTCACGCAGTCTCACGACTGAGAATTAGAAATATAATTTTCATCATTCTCTCTGCAACGTGTCCGATTTAACGCGAATTATGTGAAATTTTGTCCGAGTCGAAGAACCATCTATCTTCCTATCTTTCGTTTCGATTTATTCACAGAAATGTTCTTTGGTAACAAAAATGTGAGCGGAAAGATTCAGAAATTTCGCTCTTTTCAGTCAATCTCGTAAGATCCGAATAAAATTTACTAATATAAATGTCTGTCTTTTTGCCATGATTATTTTGCCATGTTAAATTTGCTAATGCCTTTATTTACATGTTGGTTCGAGACCGAACCAATTGATTGTTATTGATTGTTGGAATATCGTTCGCGGTTGAACATCGCAACTGTTTGACTTTGATTCGGAGTTTACTCTTCGGAATTGCTTGTCTTCCGGAGCTCAGTTGACTCTCCCCCGAAGTTCGATTTGAATCTGACAAAATTATTTTTCGCGCGACGAGTGTCGTCGCGGGATTTCGCGACATCTCTTCTTTGCTCCGCGACGTTGCTTATTCGCCGATTTCTACCGAGGGGGATGTTCATGCGAGTGTCACGTGTAAAAACTTTTCAGCATAATATCGGTGAAAGCCAAGTCGTTTGCCGATCGGGAGATACGCTACACGCTGAAGGCGCAAGGTCAAGGAGCCGCGGGAACGTTCAACATCGGACCCACTTCTGGAATCGTGAAACTTGCGAAAGAACTGGATTTTGAGGATCTACGGCAACCCCACATTTATTCTCTGATAGTGACAGCAACGGAGGACTCTGGTGGTTTCTCGACGTCGGTCGAGGTAACTGGATTTATGTTTGCGAACTTTGTTGCCCCGACGAAGAATAACAATTCTCTTGCCGTCGGAAAATATGCCAGCATCCAAGTTCTCCGTGAATGCACGGGGATTTTCCCGTTACTTGTTGAACGTGATAATAATAAGTTAACGAGCCGTTCCCGGGAACCGGGGAGCCTCCGCCGTATCTCTTACGTTACGATCTTATTATTTTTAGCTAACGATTCGGGTGTCCGACGTGAACGATAACGCGCCCAAGTTCGAGCTGCCGGATTACCAAGCTCACAACGTTGACGAGGACGTCTCCCTGGGGACGAATATACTACGAGTCAAGGCAACCGATGCTGATTCGGGGGTGAACGCGGAAATAGAGTATCTGGTGTCCGACGACCACTTTAGCGTGGACTCCAACGGTATTATTGTCAATAACAAGCAGCTCGACGCGGACAACAATAACGCCTACTACGAATTCATCGTCACTGCTAAGGACAAGGGTAAGCAGCCACGAAGTAGTCACGATCGAGCAGACAGATTACAACACGCAACCCATATATCCCATTACATGAATAATAATAATAATAATAATAATAATAGTAATAGCAATAATAACAACGAAACACGAAGAACCCTATGAAATCATTGGATTCGATCTATGAGATGCTTATTCGTTATGCCTGAAATGAAACAATTTCGACACAATGTCGCACGGTAATCGCGGCACGTTTTCGCCGCGTCACATTTGATGTCACGCGAATATCGCATCTTGCTCGGCCGAGTTCGCGGACGACCAAGATACCTACGGCTCTCCGATATCCGTTTCCCTTTAAGAATTCAGATAGCCTAAAGCCGACGCGCTCGTGTTACTCGAAGATTTGGTCACATAGAAAGGCAGAGATCGGCCGTCCCTTCACGTTCTGTCAGCAAACCGAGGAGGATCAGCCTCAGCAGCTAAATCTCCACGGATTTGGTTTCCAAACGAGCTCCAAATCCTCGCGACTCGCGCCGCGCGCGGGATCTAGCTCACATCCGTGGTAGACGCGAATTTGTGTTATTTGCATATATACGCGCCAGGCGCAAATGCGGCCTGGCTGCCGAACAAGTAGCGGCTTAATTGGAAATAAAGCGGCCGGATAGGCAATAACGCAGGTGCGCTTTTATTTATTGCGCGTTCACGCGCGCACTTCATATTGCAAAATTTGACGTTGCGGGCGGATATTGTCCGGCATGCGTCGTAACACTCCCGAATTCGATAATTTAGATTAATACGAGCGCGACTCGCAATGCTTAAACCAATATCGCCATTGTTGCATTCGTCCTTCACATCTCGCCCGATCGAATTTTGGTTGAAAAACAACTACGTATTTTTCGGTTCGGCCATGGTTCGGCCAATCACGCTATTGTTAATCTTTATTTGAAAAAATCGAGCAAGAGAGATCGGAAGGAGAGATACGTCATGGCGTTTGATTGAAATTTAACCCCTTCCGTGGCACGATGGACGCACCGGGGTGCGTCCAGCCAAAACCGTGCCGTGCCGTGCCGTAAGTGGCACGGTTAAACATTTAGTGAATTTCTATATTTTGACCTCAAATTCGGCTTCAGCGACCAAAAAAGCTGAAGTACACAAATTATTGAAAAAATCCGCCCCGTCATTTTTTGTGGGGCGGTTTCAGTGCATTTTATTGAATTTTGCTCTGTCTGCCTCTGGAAGGGGCATTCTTTTTAACAAAAAAATATGAAAAATGATAGAGTTCGCAACGTGCTAATAATCCAGTCAGACAAGGGAGGAACAAAAGAGAGGGGATTCAAACGAGCTTGCTTTCCAGGCGAGCCGTCGAAAACCGGCACGGCGACGGTGCGGATATACACGAAGAATAAAAACGACGAGGAGCCGAAATTCTCGCAGCAAGTTTACACGCCGAACGTCGACGAGAACGCCGGGCCGAACACTTTGGTCACCACCGTGGTCGCCTCCGACAAGGACGGCGACAACGTGCGCTTCCGCTTCGTCGGCGGTAACACCACGTCCGGGCAGTTCGTCATCGAGGAGATCACCGGTGTGATCCGTCTCCACGGCAAGGAGATCTCTCTAGATCGCGACAAATACGAGCTGAACGTCACCGCCTTGGACGACGGCGCGTGCTGCCCGAATGGCGACACCACTATTCACACGAGCACTGCGGTCGTCGTGGTGTTTATAACCGACGTGAACGACAACAAACCGGTCTTCAAAGACTGCGGAATGTATTACCCGAAAGTGGAGGAAGGCGCGCCGAACGGCAGCACGGTCATCAAGGTGCAAGCCACGGACGAGGACAAGGGTGTCAATGGACAAGTCAAGTATTCGATCGTGCAACAGCCCAATCAGAAGGGCACCAAATTCACCGTCGACGAGGAGACCGGTCAGGTCTTGACTAACAAGGTACTTCTGCCGACGATTGCTCGTCCTTGTGGTAGCATGATAGAGTAGTCTTTTTACCGGCGACCTCTGACGTACGTTTTGTACGTTGTTTGTATCGCAGCCGCTTGGGCGCGAGCTATAATTTCAGTCTCGTAATTTGACGGGTTACATACAAAGTTGAACATTCTGTTTGTGGATATTTTGGAAATCAAGTTCTCATTTATGGCTGCGTGCACATGCGATTGCGAATGCTCTCTATGCTGCACGGCATATAAAATTGCAAATAAGCTCCCGTCCTGAATTTCATCGTGAATTATAGATCGTCTATAAAGTCTAAAGTGGCCTTTATATTTTCGATATGCGGATCCGCTCGTATCATTATAGGAATATCTCCGCGCGAGGTATAAACGAGAGCTTACTTTTAACATTTTTTTTTATGCCTGACTCGGCAGCAAAGTCCCTTTTTAACGGAGTCGTAAAAGTTACGCCCACTGTATCGGAATGTATCGGCATGGAAGTACAAAGCGAGCGCGGTTCGTGCGATGGAAAGCTTATTTATAATTCCACGAACGCATTAGAAAATATGTAACAATCACTCGAGCTTCGGGTTCTGTCGTGTTACCCCTTCACCATTTGCACATATCGCAGAGCAGACCAACCGATAAACACGCAAGCCACTTAACACCCTAATTACCGTTCGTTCGTGTCATGACTCCATACAGATCCCTGAGAGAATAAGAGAGAGAGAGAGATATTACCGTCATACATCTACGGTAGAACGCCCTGCTGTGTTTTCAAAGAGTATTTTTATCGATTTAGATCCGTCTTGTTGCGCTAAACAAGAGAAAGAGAGACGGAAACTTGACACTTGACACACTTTTTTCATCGACAAACGCGAGCATAAAATATCGTTGAAATAGACGTTGTATATTTGTGTTTCATTAAAAATCTGACAAGGTTCTCTCTCTCTCTCTCTCTCTCTCTCTCTCCCACACAACGAGAGATGGAGATAATTTTCGTTACTACCGTTTCTGCCGTTACTATCGTTACTATCTCTCTGTTGCGTCTCTCGAGCCAATTACATTTTCGATAACGGACACGGTGTTACTTTCAGGTGTTCGATCGCGAAGGCGACGACGGAAAATTCGTATCCGTCACTGTCAAGGCGACGGATCAGGGCGAACCCTCGCTGGAAGGTGTTTGCTCGTTTACCGTCGAAATAACCGACGTGAACGACAACCCGCCGTTGTTCGACCGTCAGGTGCGTACATTCGATCAGACCCCACGTTCAAGATATCATTTGGGGGTAGAAACACGGCGCAGATGTCCGGAAGTATGGTCGCGTGTAGCGAAACCACCACGGTACGGCGCGTGTCAGCGCGTTACGTTTCGATGAACGTAACTCGAGAAGAGTTTAACGGACGTGTGCGTGAAGTTACCGCCCGGCGGCTCCGTTGGGGCCAGTTTCGTTGTTTACTCAATTAAGATTATAGACACACCTTTTGCGTACGCGTTGGGTCCATATCGATTAAACATATCCGCGAGGAGGTCAGATATGCAAGTGGAACAAGCTCATAATTCATAAACTATACCCGCGCGAGCACGAAGAACTGTACATAAGGTGAATCTCATAAATTATGCACTCTGATCCACTTCTGCTTTGAATGCATATTACAGAATATGTATACAGGATGTTCGTAAGGGGCTTGCATCGAACTTTGAAAACACATTCTTGCGAACTTAGCAACACAGAGTGCTTGAGAAGAATTTGAGTTACCGACCTTAATATCAGAGTCTTGAATTAATATCTGTTTTTAATGAAAATCATTCAACCTTCGTTGAAGATTTCGGAGGATCTCGCTCGCGTTTAATTACTACCTTGCAATCTGACTTCTCCTGCCATCTCATTTCTAATCTCGAGTGCCAAGATCCGGGTCTAAATTTATACAGACGCGCGCGCGGATTAATACTTGACGAAATAATATAATAAGGCGTACTGTCGATCCATCGATACGTGAAAGGTACCGATGGATCGTGGCGAGTTTTCCGAAGAGTCGCATTTCATCTTTCTTTCGCAGAGGTACGTGGAGAATGTGAAACAGGACGCGAGTATCGGCACGAACATACTGAGAGTGTCGGCATCCGACGAGGATGCTGACAACAACGGTGCGATCACGTACACACTGAGCTCGCCGAACAACGACCAGGGTCTGGAATACTTTGAGATTCAACCAGAGTCTGGTTGGATCGTGTTAAAGAAGCCTCTAGACGTGAGTATCCCCATGAAATCGCTAATCTACATATCGTCTCTCTTTAGCAGTATGGACAGCATCGTTTCCTGGAACACTCCCACTTTTTCGTGGGCGAGGCTTGCATTTTTCTTTGCGGCTTGCTGGCTTCTTTTTGCTCTTGACGTCTATATACGATATATATACGCTCGATCGCTATACGCTCGAAACCGAGTGAAAATCTCGGCGACTCTCAATAAGTCACTTTACATTCCGCGAGGCGGAACTCGACGCGGAAATCGAACGCTGCTGCGTGTTGGTGTTAATCTCGCTGCCATCTCTCTTCAAGTACGCGGATCCTGCGGATGCACTCGTCCCGAAACAAGTGTCGCGTGTCCCAGGAATGTGTAGGTTGCGTAGCATACTTTATCTATTTATATATACGTATATATGTATATATATATATATATATATATATATATATCTATATATATATATATGATATCGTATAAATACAAAACTTGAGTGTACACCTTCTGCCGATATATTGTACGTTTGCGTTGAATTACGTTATATTTAAACACGAATCCGTTTTGTTGCTGAGCGGATAAACTTGTATACTAATATACGTTTGGTCGGCAATTATTTCTCTCATCACTAATATGCAACGAAATGAGTTTCCTTTTTACGGCACATGTATAGAACTTTTTAATTCCCATTGATATGCACAATGTGTTCACTATGGTAAATACTTAGCTATGCCTGATTTCCTCAAACGCTTCATGTACCTGAATCGATCGACCGTTCGGGCTATTTTTGCAACAAAACACTCTCTCTCTGTCTCTCTCATTCTCTCTATTGAGAACATACTCGCGGCGCGAGTACCTTTTTAAACGATTCCAAACGAAGCTTTGATACCTCTTGTCCAGTTTTTCTCATTCACTTTTCGTCGAGAATCGGTTTTCTCCAGTTACATATATAGATGAGCGGTCGAACAAACCACGCGCGCATATACATAGCTTTTCGTTTCCGTCCTTCTTTTTATCTTCACTTAGATTTCCTTTGTTCGTCGTTCGTTTTGTGCCGCGTTCCGTTTTTTTGTTTTGTGCCGCGATATCAATCATAATTTACGATCGAATTGGCGAGTTGTAAATGCCGACGCGTAATTTTGCAAAAAAAAGAAAAAAAGAAAAAGATCACGTGTGCGGATCGGCCCGAACGTGCACGCGCACGGCCGACCAAACGCGAGCGTATGCACTTTTCATACTTTTTCTAAAAGTAGCCAAGAAAAGGATGTATACGATTTTTGTACGTTACGCGTTGGAGAATTTAACGGGAAAGCAATTGGAGAGAAAAGACAATGATGAAACAATGATGATATATAAGAGATATATGACAAAAGAAAGGAAAACGTTCGGAGCAAACTAATGATCTTTAATTGTTCAACTAACATTACTAATTGTGAATGTTTTTCAAAAGGGAAGTGATGTTTTTTGAACTTCCAGGAGCAGGTGGGAACGACATTTTTTGAGCCCCACGTACGGTGTACTTCAACCTCTACGCATTTTGTGGTGCATCAGACATAAACAATTTTTGACAATGCTTGGATATTTTATATGAATGTGTTTTTGATTCCTTTACAGGAACGGATCTCGCTCTCAATCCTACATCCTTGCTCTCTCTCTCTCTCTCTCTCTCTCTCTCTTTCTCTTTCTCTCTTTCTTTTCTCTCTCTCTCTCTCTCTCTCTCTCTCTCTCTATCCGTATCTCTTTTTCTTTCTCTTTCTTTACATCTCGGTTCTTTAAAAAATTTCTCTTCTTTTCATATGATTAAAAATTCTATTAATTTTTCGTGTGTTGCATTTTGTGTCTTCTTGTTATGTCGATGGTTACTTTTCCGAATTTCTTGCCCGATACTGTTTTTTTTACTGATTTTGCTGCGTTGATTACTTTACCTGTCTGTCTATTTATATCTGCCTGAGTTCTCCGTTATCGACTATCGCATTTTTGTTTTCAAGTTTATCTCGATTATATATTTTTCTTCGTTCTTCTACTTTCAATTGTTTCTCTTCCCTTTCTCTATATAACTCTTTCTCTCTGACGTTACCCGATTTTCATCCCACTCTCCCAGTGTAACACGACGTGACTGACAAAGAAAAGGAAAAGAACACGAAAAGTATTTTTGATCGAGAGCGTTGTACCAATGTATAAACATGTGTATATATGCATACATATGTACATGGTTCGTAAGAGAACTGTCCGTGGTGTGACATTTTTTCTTCTGTGATTGGGGCGGCATACCACTGTCGTGACGAAAACGGGAAGAAAGCGAATGAATATGAACGGGAGTAATCACGGATTGAAAGGAAAGTCGGAAACGTGTGCGGATTAACTATCACGACGATTAGAAATAACGTCCATCGGTTTTTGAGTGTCGTTAAAACGAATCAGACGAGGGGTCGTCATAGTTTTTTTTCTCCCACCCCTCCCCTAGTATCTCATTTTGAGTCCCTCCTCCAAGTTTCCATTCTCTATCATCGAATTTACCCTCGTCCCTCTATCTTTCTCATCGTTTCCTGATGCCTCTTTAACGCATTCTCGCTTGCATGCAAAATGCCTGCATTGGTTGATTTCGTAAAGGAACTAATTTGAACTTCTTATTGTTTATGTTTGTGTTCATTGCACCATTTACTTTCTTCGGATTTGATGATGACAAAAAAAAAGGGCTGTTTTCCAGTAAGTAGGATCTATATTCTTGTGTTTCACACCTTGCATCGAGACACATTATGATGTGACAACATTGTTATACCTGCGCAAAAGAAAGTATAATATTCGTTGCAAATACTAGAGCGCCTTTCCGTTCGATTATTCAACATTATATCCTTTCGATGATTTTTCGCCTCTGTTGTTGTTATTGTTGTCACTCGGAGACGTCACTCTCTCTCTCTCTCTCTCTCTCTCTCTCTCTCTCTCTCTCTCTCTCTCTCTCTCTCTCTCTCTCTCTCTCTCTCTCTCACTCATTTCTCTGCTCTATCTTTATCTTTGTGTCGCTCAATTTCTGAGAATCTTTCTATCTACTATATTTAATCGTCTCTTCTCGAGAGTGTTTCTGTTCAAAATTTTTTGTACCACGCGCGATGTATTTCTTTGTGTACATATACACACACACACTTGCTGTCGCGCTATCTATTTTCGTTCTCTCGTCCCTAGTCTCGTATGTATCCATAAGTGAAGGATGCCTTTTCTATACCGATATCTCGCACCGCCGGTAACGCCGGTAGCTCCTGTCAATCTGTTCCCACGTGGTGCTGGATATCCGACGGACGTCTGACATGTAGATTGTAACGGCTAAGACTACATCGAAAATTTCAAAACCTCCGTGCTCTATTAAAAGTTTGGAGAATCCTCTTTTCTCACAGAGGTAGTAAGTAGGAGAAGCTTGAAAAAAATTGTTTCCAAGATTACGTCAAAGTGAAGGTTAACTTTGATAGGCTCGAATCAAGACTAATTTCCAATCAGAAAATGAGTTTAATAACTCGTTACGTTAGATTTAGACTTTGCGTTAAATTTACGTTAATTAACATCAGTTGATTTGACTTGACACTAAAGGTAATTCGCCTTGCTGAAATCACGTTACATATTCTTATGCCTCACTCTGTATTAGTAGCACAGCACCGTAATAGTACCTCACGTAGCTGTGCTTCCTTTAAATATAAATCAATGTGTCTTTTAACAGAATCGCAAGTAAAACATGCTTTTGTTTTACTCGTATCCGTTTGGTGAACGTCCGTTGGATATCGAATGCTGTACAGGGATCTGGTTCCGTGACTGGAACAGCTTGAATAATTACTTTTAATGTTCCAGGAAGCCCGTAGTTCTTGTTACTAGAAATCTTATGACGTAGCAAGATCCCGATAATAGACAAACGTTCGCAAAAGCGTTACACTTGGAAACGAAGGACGACGTTTGTAAAATGCCGATTGTCGAACGACTCGTTGTCGTGATACAGCGCTTTAACTAACTTAAATCGCGATGTTAACACGATATCTGATTACATGATCAGCGGATTAGTACGACTGAAATACAAAATACAAAATTAACGGGCTAAACATTAAAGCTACTGGAAACTAGAAGTCCATTCGCTGAGTCGCTGAGTTTTGGATCGAACCTGTTCGACCAATTGTTATACTTTTCATAGACAAACTTTGATTCCTTGAATCTGATTACATTTTACCTGGAAATATATCGTTCACCCGCTGTTACTCTATATCGGATATTTGAAAATTACTATTATTTTGATTATACGGAGGTTCTTTGCTATCTGTGGAATCTAATTTTCTTTACTAAGAATTTATAATTTTGTAACTTAAAAATTATGAAATTTCATCCTGAAATTAATCTCAAGCGGACTTCATTTTAAGGCAATCTTCAAATTGATGGCTCAAAGAAAATATCAATAGCGAACGCGTATCAAAGAATCCACAAATGAGAGAAGCAATAGTAGTTTTGAAACATCTAGTACATCCTCCGCTTTCGTGTTATCTCGGATGGCAGCATAAATCTAATGCATTCATTAGCCCTAATATATACAACGTGAGCATCACTCTTTTATATGCACTTTGCTTTCGTTATACAAGAGTCATCTTATTAAGAGCAACCTGATATTTATAATACACAATGTTGCAAGGACAATTGTATCGATGCGAGTCAAATATGCAAAAATGCAAGCGCAGACGAAAGCATTTGTTCACGCGTCAATCAACTAACACGATTAGTAGCAATGAGCTCAAATATGCGAGCATACATTCGTTCGGCAGGTAAGTATATCACAACAGCTACATCGTCCACATTTGCTCTCACGTTTCTCACAAGCTCCACTTACAAATCTGGCTACTGGTTGCCCATGTTTGTTTCGATGTTACTACCGCTTCCTTGCGAATCGACAAAGATCGGCGATGTAGACTACACATCGTCGTCTTCATCACCACGCCGCTATATCGCAACTACTCATTCACGAGAAGGCCCACCTCACGGCATGTTTGAGTTCATTGCAGTAAATTTCGTGCTTGTAAACGGCGCACCTTCATTACATAACCTAACCGGAGAAAAGTTCTACATTACGGGAACCATAGATTCGTTTGCTACAAAGACAATGAGTCTACCGCACTACCGAGATAACACGCAACGGACAAGGTCCACCAGGATACCTACGAGACTGCACGGTCCATTCTCTCTCTCTCTCTCTCTCTCTCTCTCTCTCTCTCTCTATTTTTCTTTCCGTCTGTCTTTCTCTTATCTTTTCGTTTTTAATTTCGCTCGCGAATAAAAAGCACAGAAAACGGTACTCTCGAGTACCTAATCTCTGTCTCTCTGTCTTTCTCTCTCTCTCTCTCTCTCTCTCTCTCTCTCTCTCTCTCTCTCTCTCTCTCTCTCTCTCTCTCTCTCTCTCTCTCTCTATCACACGTGATCACGTGGACGCGCTCGATGCCGAGTGACGTCTTTAGCTCTTTCGTAAACTCCGACGGAAAAGACGAGTCGGGAAAAACGAATAGAAAGTAAAGTGACGCAACGGAAACAAAAATCACAAAGTCGAAAACAGAAAAAAAGCCAAAAAAAGAAACGCCAACAAAATTCCCGAAAAACAGTGTCCTATAAGTTGACGGCCCAATGTTTTGCCACTAGCGTGACAGCTATCGCCTACGAGTACGGGCCTCCGACAGAGGGATGCCAGTCTTGTCCGCAGACGTGGACGTTGAGTTAGACGTCGTAGACAGAAACAATAAACCACCTGTGTGGGATGCGAATGTATACGGCCCCATTCACATCAAAGAAAATGTCACAGTGGGTACTGTAGTGACGTCGGTGAAAGCCAGGTTTGTATGCCACGACATGACCGAGACAAGACATGTGACATGCCGTGCCGTGCCATGCAGTGCTGCCTCTCCTATCTATTGACCTCTCTCTTTTTCATCTGACTCTCTTACATTGTCTCTTGCGTTCGTCCTCTCCCGGCAACTCGTTTACGCGCGAGTATCCCGAGCGTTTGCTCCTCCGAATCTCATCGATTCCTCTCATCGTCAACCTCCACAGTGCGTCTTTCTCTCTACCTCCGATACCCACCCATTCGTAATTTCTCTCTCTCTCTCTCTCTCTCTCTCTCTCTCTCTCTCTCTCTCTCTCTCTCTCTATCTCTCTTTCTCTCTGCCTCAATCTTTCTACTCTTCATTTTGTTGCTCTATTTTTATTGTGGCGTTTGTTCTCTGTTTTTGGTTTATTCCTTTGTGTATCTCTATCTCTATGCGTTTACCTCTCTCCTTAGATATAGAGACATTGGACACACACCACTTTCTTTCTTTCTCTGGATGCGGAAGCACTTATGGTTAAGCGCGGCGCGGTAGATCGCTGAATGGCGGACACTCTCCTTCTCCTACTACTACTACTACTACTACTACTACTACTACTACTACTACTACTACTACTACTACTACTACTACTACTGTTTACTATTACTATTATTCTACTACCACTATCTCTTCCCAACATGTACTGTGTAGCGAGCCGCGACGATCGCTCTTCGACGATATATTTGGGGACAGCGAGTGTTCGATCGGCGACGCGAGAATCACTCGGAAATGATCGAAGCCCCTCGGCTTTCAAGTCGAGTAAGTCTTGAATGCCGTAAATTAACGCAAGCCGTACACTGCAGCTTTAGAGCTATCTGCTGCACGGCGTTACCGGACGCTATAAATCGCGCTCTCAGCCCATCGCGTTATCGTTATCGCTCTTCGTTATAGCGCTAAAATAGTCCCATCAATTACAAAAGAGCGCTTTGCGAAATCCCTCGAGAATTTATAATTGTCCTTGTCGGAAGCAACGGTCTTTATTACGATTTTGCTCACGTATAATTGATCGCCACTAACACGGAAACACGGAAAATCGACGAGAGTCATCCATGTCTGAGGACTCGCCCTCAGATTATCAGCACTTTGCCGACTCTTTGGCTCGCTCGCTATTTTAAACCCCATCATCTCGTGTGAGACTGACAAACGTTCGGTACAGCGCGGATAGCACTAAACAATGTATCTCTTAGTCTACAGAGCACTCGTGATAGCGCCGAGAAATTCTCGCGAGCCCAGCGCGCGAGACTTACTCCACTCGAAAGAGAGACCGGAGAGGCTCGTCTCTTCCCTGCCGCGAAGAAGAACAACAGGAGCAACGTGCTTCTCCAAAGACTCGGAGGACGCAGCGATCGTCGCGAGCGCGGATCATAGCGAATATAAAGCAATTAACAACTGTAACTATGTGCGAACGCGGGAAGGCGGAGCGGTGACCTACAGGCGCCTCTATCGTGCTCATTCGTATAGGTTTATTAGACGGGGATGTAAACGAGAGAGAGATCCTGCTGCCTACTCGCGATACGGACATTCACGCGCAGAATGCAGGTTGCGGAGCGTCGATCATCCATCACACTGCCAGTGTGCCCCCACAAGAGAGCTCGTGCAGCCACCTGGCCGCTGCGTGTCCGAGCAATAATACGCATCGCAAATATCGCGCGAGCTTTCGCTATAGTCCCTAATAGCCGAGCGAGCAAGTCGGCGCGAGGCTGCGTGCAAACAAATGCGAGCCCGCATTCGCCGTACCACGTTCCAGGCGTTTTGCTGGGGTTTAGGCATTCGCCGTAGCGGCGAACGTCACACGGCGGAAGGGCGAGATAGACAGGGTGTTGCGGATGCGAGAGAGAGAGAGAGAGAGAGAGAGAGAGAGAGAGAAAGAGAGAGAGAGAGAGACCAGTTCTCCTGATCATCTCTCTCTCTCTCTCTCTCTCTCTCTCTTTCTCTTTCTCTCTCTCTCTTTCTCTCTCTTTCTCGCTATTTCTCTTGCTCTCTTTCTTTCTCTCTCTCTCTCTGTCTTTCTATCGAAAAGAATGACGGAGATCAACATGTACCATTATTCTCACTCTCTCTCTCTCTCTCTCTCTCTCTCTCTCTCTCTGCCAAAGAACCTTGGCGCCTTGACACTAACGCCGTTGTTTTTTGTTCCCGTTTGTTATACACGCGGTCTGGCCGTAGCGCGAGACGTACAAGCTGGAGGCGATGGCCCAAGACAAGGGCTTCCCGCCCTTGTCGCGAACGGTGGAGGTTCAGATTGACGTTGTGGACCGTGCGAATAATCCGCCCGTATGGGACCACGTAGTGTATGGCCCGATCTACATTAAAGAGAACATGGCCGTCGGGGCTAAAGTTGTGTCTGTTAAAGCCAGGTCTGTCACACTGTCAATGCTCCGTGCGGCTCTCTGCACGAACCCGCCCTGCACGCAATCTCGTGGCAGTATTGTTCTTGTGCACGTTAATTGATATTGTGTACGAATCCACATTACACGCATCTAACACACTCAGACATATACATATACACACACACACACACACACACACACAGCATACACCATCATTCGCAGAGGCGCGTTGTGCGCGCGTTCGCTCGCTCGCTCGCTCGCTCGCTCACATTTTACATTACACACGCAGGCATACTTGCGTACGCACACAGGATCGGTCGTGGGAAGTATGATCGAAATGTTTAGGTTTAGGTTCACAGGGGATACATCTGCACGTGTGAAGGGATACCGGGAGACTTTAGGCGCAGGACGTGGGCATTGGAGCGATGGTTCTTGGTAGATGGAAGAACAACTCCAGCACGGATTTGTTAAGTAGCGAGATATTGAGGGGATGAGAAAGATTGGAGCATGAAAATATTTTCGATCGGACAGTTTTGTGATGCGATACCATAAAAATCAAGTTGCTCATCAGAGAAGAAACAGTCTCGATCAGAATGAATTCATAGCCAAAGCCAGTCACCCTCGTCTCTTTACGCAACGCTGTGAATACAAGTTGCTGCTTTAAGCAAGTGTTGGATGTAGAAGAGAAGAGATAAAATATTTCATACGTAAAGAAATACAAATTTTTCGCCTCGACTTTCGTCTCAGTTACAGCGAGCGTATCGAAAGCGTATGTAATAAAATGTTACTAAATTCAGCGATTTTTGCAAATTCCAGGCGTGTACTTCGGGAAACACCTCTTTAAAAAGGAACCATCGCTTTAAATCGCGTCCACCCTCGTTCAGGCAAAGATATGTCTCTCGTGTTCGACAATCGCGGGAGGCGCGTTCTATTCGCTCGGACTAGTGCACACACAAGTACGCATTCGTAAGCGCGGCGCACGTTTCCTTCGGTGTGCGTGATCGTTCGCGAGGTACGAGCCTCGTTAATTTTTCCGTGTTTTCCGGCGTTTCGTTTCTTTCGACGAAAGTCTGAAAACCGCGCGCTTATATCGGACTCCGCCGAGCCGATTACGTCCTCTAAGCCTTTTGCTGCATCTCGACACGCAGCCACCATTTCCAGGCTTTCGTGAAGACTCTAATCGATTCCACAGCGAGATTTAATTCCTTTTTGCCGCGGCAACGACCGGTAACAAAAAGGCGCTTCTCCCTTCTTCTTCTTCTTCTTCTTCTGTCGCGTGTACGTGCGCTAAATTGAATAAACGGCACGGCCAATGGTCGCCTTTCATCTCCGGATCGTGACCCGTAATTCACGCGGATATAAGAAACGGTACGAGAGCCGAGGAGAGGAGCCGCGCGTCGAGCCGTTTCGGTGCATTTATCACTAAAGCGCAATTTTCCGAACAAAGCGCGTGTCCTATTGTTGCACGGTAATCGACAAAGAGAGGGAGACAGAGAGAGAGAGAGAGAGAGAGAGAGAGAGAGAGAGAGAGAGAGAGAGAGAGAGAGAGAGAGAGAGAGAGAGAGAGAGAGAGAGAGAGAGAGAGAGAGAGAGTCGCGCACTGCTATTATTCCATTAAATATTAATTGTTCGCGTCGCTCATTGTTCCACGGAGATCACCATTAATTCGCGCGTTCGCACTTGACGCAATAGTTTTATAAATCGTATCATGTCGAGATGTCGATTGCATTAACGGCAGTTTGCGTTTAATTGATCACGGCGAGCATGAGATTTCCACGGTATTGGCACTTGAGAAACTACGAAGGAAATGCGAACTGGCGCACGAGCTGCATAGTGATGAGCGTCGGAAGTTTTACGACGAATTGCAAACAGGTTTGCGACGACTCTCGCGTATCGTTGCGAGTGCTTCGAGAGAATAAAATTCTAGACAAGCCGAAATTCGGGAATCGTGATTTGCGACTTTATGAGAAATATCGCGCGCGCGCGAGCGGTGCATCAGGGAAGAAATATAGCGTAGCCGGCGCGAACGCATCTTTTTTCGGATAGCAAAGCCGCGTCGACAAAAAAAACGTTAGTAATGGCGAGGTTTGCGCTTGACGTACCGCTTTTAACTGCGTTTTCGCGGAGACACATGGACTTCCGGCGAGAACAGATTCGCTAATTATATAGCGTACACGCTGCGCGAGAGGTGCCAGATGCACGTGCTGTCCGCGCGCGAGATAATACATTTTATTGTAAATTCGATATACGACCCTCTCCTCTGCGTGTCGACGTCACGCGAACGTTTCGGTGGCATATCTGGCCCAAACACGCGCCAATTTGCTCCTTCGTGAGCATTTTATCAGGGAACAATACCGATGTATTATATAATTCGCTTGTATCGCGAACAAAGCGATAAGCCGTTTCGAATTCGCCGGTGAAACGCGACGATACACGCGGGACATACACGACGAAATTATTTCACCCTCGTGCGATTGTATTTTTATTATCAATTCAATTGCTACTTTCGATCTTTAAGCGTCGTTTCAATGTTTCCGCGAATATCGAAATGTGTCGCCTCAAAGTACGCTTTTCGATCTCACCGATGCTTGTCAACGTATCGAATCTTACGACACCGGACTTCCTAAAGACTGATTAACT